TAACTAGAGTTATAGCCATTAGCCATTAGCCAACAGGTGGCTTTGGATGTTTACTATTCTTTAACACCTGAATGCAGGTACTGCAGTGCCCACAGTGTACATGCAGAATAACCTCATTGCATCATCAGCCTACTGTGGAGAAACTCCATGGATTTCTGAATTTCTTGTTGCATTACCAGGTTTATAAGATAGTCTTATATTATCCAAGGCGGAGACTTTGAAAATATATATTTCCTGTGTGACTGAAGATTTCTCAGATGTAAGTTAATCTTTAAATGACTCTCAAGAAAGTCACCTCTGGAAAGCAAATGGCATGAGAAAGTGTAAGCTCAAAAGTAATTGGGCCCAATAATAAATGTGCATCTTTGGAAGCTCCAGTTTTATTCTATCTGAAAATGGCATGGCTATAAAAGAGCTGCTGTATGCAAGATGGGATAGTAAATGTGAACAGTTTGCTATCAGAGACTTAGATCACATATTAAGAGATAAAGAGAAATCTCTTTCAGGTAAAAGACATTGACTGCTTATTATTTGCTAGTTACTGGCAGAAGAGAGTTTAAAAAGGGTGGGCAATCCTACTGATTATTGAGAAGTCATGCTGTTATTAACATGTCTTGGAACCAGGTTATTTGAAGAAACTGTCTCTGCCCCATTACAGTGGTACCTCAGTACTCATTGTTAATTGGTTCCTGGAGGCGCGATGAGTACCAAAAATGATGAGTACCATACAATTCCCCCCCCCACAAGAAATAATAGAGTCATAAGGCAGCCAACACCAACAAGTTCTCATGTGAGTGTTTAGTACCAAACAATGAGTACTGGGACAGATTTTTGTGTCAAATATGTCAGTTGAATACCAAGGTACCACTAGTGGTGGGTTGCCCCTGGTTCGGACCAGTTACAGCAGGTTGATTAAGTTGACAACTTAATGACAGAAGGACTGACTTTGTTCAGGTACAAAATAGCTGTTTATGAAGAGTCGTGCAACAATTTTATTCCAATCTGTAAGAGATGACATGCAGGGACACCTTGCCTTGTCCTAAGATCTGCTGAAAAAAGTACATGTCAAGAGTTTCCCTAAACAACATCAGAGTTCAGACCATGTTAATTCAGAGGGATGACATTGCATAGAGCAAGGGCAACTATAGAAAAAGAACTACAGTTCTACAATTGCTAGGTGTCTCATCTGATTTGGAGCTATGACTCTATGATGCAACAGCAGTCCATGGGTAAGCCTTTCACAGTGGTATTGCAGGCTGGATGTGTAGCAGGAGTGGGTTTTATTTACCTTTACTACTGGTTCGCAGTGGGGCTGTGCATGTGTGTGAGCTTTGTTCGCGTGTGCACACGCTCTTCTGCGCATCTGCAGAAGCATTTTGGTGATGTCGGGGTCAGTGGGCGGAGCCTCCCGCTGGTTTTACTACCGGTTCTATAGAACCAGTGTGAACCGGGGACAACCCATCCCTGGTGTGTAGTCACCCTCTTTCTGTTAATAGGAAAAAGAGCCAAGAAACAATGCAGGGGTTATAATAATGTCTCAATCAAAAAGGGAACACGAGAGAGAAACAAAAAGGGATCAGACCAAAATCCAAGAAGCACCTGAAGTAGGGAAATGTCTCTGTGGAGATTGAATAGCAGGACTAACACAACTGTTTCCACCCCCAAGACACTTTCTAATGTCTTGGCAGAAACCATGCCAAGACGTTTGCCCATTCCCACCCCATTACATTTTTGGCGCTAGTGAGGGAAGCCAATGAAACCTGTTGAGGGTAAGCCAGTCATTAATTTGGCACCTGTTGTCAGTATTCTTGTCTTGGAATACCTGTTTCAGGTCAGGAATTGATAAAGAGCTGAAAGAATGTTAAAGCAAAGGAGGTCTTGCCTCTCAGAAGAACATTTGAATCTACTGTTACTGATCCCTGGAGCTCCAGCTGTGCATTTTATTCATCCAAAAGTTTGGTGAGAAGCCAACATCTATTCAGTATCCTTGACTGAAGAAGCAAATAGATGCATCTAGTACACTTGAGGGAGGTTTCCAAAATTTGGTCAGACTATGAAACTGGAGTAAAAATATATATATTTCTAGATCCTGTAATCCAAGTATGTCTTTGGTAATAATATTGCTATGATGCGATTATATAAAAAAAATGCACTAATAAGCTCAGACCTTGTGCTGAAGACAAATAAAGTAGATTTATTTAATCTGAATTTCATTTTAGCCTGCACATAGCACATTATGCTAAATTGCCTCTGTGCTTGGAAGGGCTAGCTAGCAGATAAAATCCAAGTCCTTAATAAATAACCTCATGAGACATATGGGGAAGAGAACATAACTGATGGGAATATTGTAAAAACACATTGCAGAATGTTGCAGTCTTTTAATCATTCTTTTAACAGTGTATGAGATAAAAATATTTTTAATAATAAAGCCTAATTAACACCTGTTTTATATATTGAGAGCAAAATAACAATTTGGCATGGAGATCCAACTGAATAGAATTCTCAGTCTGTTATCGAATTCCAATTTAGACAGGAACTTAGTATTACACTATACTGCAGAGAGAAATTGTATTTATATACAATAAGAAGAAAGTAGGGTGCTATTTTATATATATATATAAATGAATAATGCATACACCCCCAATCATATTTGCATAAAAGATGCTAAAAAACAAGGTTGGAATTATTAGAAAAAGATTGTAATCTTTTGCAAAAAATCTGTAATTTTTCATACTTTGCAGGATCCAGTTTGAGTCAGTCATTGGGACCAGATGTTTAGTCTTATGAGCTTTTGGACTCGTGCTGAAACCCATCCTCTGGAAAGTGTGTGCTTTGGGCTATTCTCTGTGTAGTATTTATGTGGTGCCTGGTTGGGTGTGGTTTCTTATTGGTTGACTGGGGTGTTGATATCTGGCTATTAAGTGATTGGCTGTTGTTTCCTTGTGCTCCTAAATACCTGATAAGCTGGTGGTAAATCATCACTCTTGTTGACTGACAAGGGGCCGATTTCCCAGGCTTCAATCATTTCCCTGATTATCTTTGTACCTGCTAGGCCAAGAATCTTAGTAGCTATGAAAGTGAATGTATGTCCTTATACATTGCGATGTGAAGCTATCAATGAGTTCAGGTCTCCTCATCTGACCACTCGCTTGTGTCTTACACTCTGATAGTTAGTTTCCTCCCTGTCTGCCTACATAGTCATAGGGCGATCCATATAGGGGATCTGTAGATTAGATTAGAGGCATCTTTCACTTCCAAGCAACCTTTGCTTTTCCTATTTGTTTAATCTTTGCAACTGTTCTTGTATTCAAAACATCCAGTCACAGCTTCATGTATTGTTGTTTAAAATTCTCACTTCAATGTTTTCAAGATCTCAACTCCAGCCAACCATAACTTTCTTGATCTTTCTCTCCCCATTGAGCCATTCACTCTTCCTTCAGGAATTTATGCTGTGGTTCATCTTTATTCATTTTTCTACGATGATGAAACCATCTCAATATAGTTCATTCAGGTTTATATTGTATCCACATTTAACTCCCATTAATTTTTATCTTATCTCTTCCCTAAAAGATGGGACCCACAACATACCCTTTGCCTTCCCATTCTCATTAGTTGGGTGGATATACAGTGGTACTCAGGGGTGGGTTCTACTTACTTTTACTACTGGTTCGCATCTTGCCCGCACACGCGTGCAAGCTTCGCTCACACACACACACTCTTCTGCTCATGCGCAGATCAACTTTGATGATGTCCGGGTCAGTGGGCGGAGCCTCCTGCTGGTTTTATTAGGTCTTTTGGCCCCCCATAAGCGGTGTTTCTACAAAGTCAGCTTATTGCCCCCATAATCTGGGTCCTCAATTTACCTACCTCGGAAGGATGGAAGGCTGAGTCAACCTTGAGCCTGGTGAGATTTGAACTCGCACTAATTGCAGGCAGCTGGCAGCTAAGTGCTACTTAACAGCACTTAGTCCACTGCACCACCAATATCTATCAAGCGTACCAATAACTTTTATGGAAGAAAACAACGTTTTTTGAGCAGCAGCTCCTTTCATTCACATTTTCTTCTGGCAAGCTGTAAGACTCCCAAATTTCTGCACATTTCAACAAATGTTTCCCCAAAAGAAAATTTTGTGCCGATGTTCGTAATTATCTCAGTGTAAAATGTGTTCTTCTTAGGATTTGTTCTTTTCACAAACACTCTGTGCGGAAACCATCCACGCTCATTCTAGGAGTATCTTGATTTCTATTGTGCCCAATTTTCTTGTTCAAAGGTAAACCTGGTTCATCTTTCAGCATTTACCTCACTGCGCCCTAAACCTGCAGTGGTTCCCAAATACAATGGTAAAGTTAAGCTGCAATAAAAGAACATTTTCTCCTTTCAGCAACAGTAATACAAGTGGCCACATTTCCTGATTGTGGATTAAGTTCAATATTTCAAATAAAGCCGGCCTTGCTCCCAATCAGCTAGTTTGATATTTATCATCGACTTCCCTGTCTTCCATATCCAGCGTGAGAGAGATAGCACAAAGGTAAACTGAAAGAGGCCTTTCTTTTATTCAACAATTAACCCCATCTGAGTAAATAATACGGTGTTGTGCACTTAAGTCTTTGCTGTGATTCACAGACTTCAGAATCCAAAACGGCTTCAAAGCAGCATTTGTGAAATGATGACAAGATGCTGCAAAAATCGCTTTTCATTGGGAATATAAGGCAAGGATTGTGTTTCTCTGTACAGTAACAAATAGAGTATAGTTGTAAGATATATACCAGATAAAGTGTCTGGAAATGCTTAACTGAAGGGAAACCTAATCTTTAATTCAGGGTCTGAAGCTTATATAGTCAGTGTTTCGCTAGAAGCTTAAATATTGGAGAAATCAGTTTTATTGTATGTTAAAGAAGCAATATCATTTCTCAAAGCAAAAAAATAGCTGCTTGATTTCCACTGGTTATCTTTGTTCAAGGTAATTTTAAATATTCAAGATAAATAAGGAAGCGGTATATGAGTCTAAGTGCTATTGTTGTTTATTGTTTTTAGATGACAAGTGATTATCCATTTACCCAAGAATAAACCCACCTGAACTCAATTGGACTTACTTCTGTTTAGATGTATCTGTAGAATTTTTCTGTTAGTCATTCATACATACACGGTGACAAAATGTACATTTTTGACAATACTCTGTAATAATAATTCATGATCCATGTCAACTGGAAGAATCTGAAAATAATAAGACAAGAACCAATGTGCTAAGACTACAAAGAAGGAGGATCACTATTATGTTTTTAACAATTAAACGTTAATGATTTCATTTAGAAATGACTGAAATGAATTCAAAATCTTTAAAGATTGAATAGAAAAACTTAGTAGAAGAAACAGTCAAGTGGATGTTTCCCAATGGCCCCAATTCTGTTAACAAATTGGAATATATTTTTTAAAAAAGCCTTCAGCATAAAACAAAATCCCTGCTACATAATGTGCAAATCAGTGGCGGGTTCCTCCCGGTTCGGTACGATATGACGTCACCGAACCGGTTCTCCCACCCCCCCCACCCCCCACGTTATTCTTACCTTTTATTTGGTCCCACCCCCAATCTATTGCTGCCTCCTGAGTCCCAGCTGATGACTAGAGGGAAAAAACCTGTTTAAACTCTTGCCACGGGCCTTCAAAGGGCCGTCCTACAGCTGATCAGTGTTAAAAACCAAACAAATGAGTCGGGTCGTAAGTGCGAGGACTGGTCGTAAGTGCGAGGACCTTCCAGAAATGACTCTGACCAGCTAGCCATGCCCACCTAGTCACATGACCTCCAAGCCACACCCACAAAATAAGCCATGCCCACAGAACCGGTAGTAAAAAAATTTAGAACCCACCCCTGGTGCAAATGCATATTATGCTATTGCTTACATATGTTAAAAACCAACATATTGAATACAAGTATGATTCTTAATGTCATGTGCAGTTTAGTCCTAAGAATTAATCTCTTAAATTGTCATCCTTTTTCTTTAGGCATTAATGGTAATGATGATTATGTTAAATAACAAGAACCCTTTTTGTATTTTCTATTTCAGATGTTTTAGCAGGAAAAATCACCATTACACTTACTGTTCTTGGGGACGATTCATGTGTATCAGGTAGAAAATATCTGGATTTTTCCTTTCCCATTTAAAATGTCTGAAAGGACATCTCAACATTCTTATTTTCCCCTTATAGCTCTTTCTAACATATGGAAATGTAGGCAAACTGAAACTGTTCAACCCCTCAAATATTTCCAGAAATTCAAGTAAAAAGGTTTTTTTAAATGCATAACAGATGTAATAGCACTCTTTAGGGTGGATACAAGTACAGGCTCAAAACTGTCAGCATATCACTCACAATCACATATTTTCACCTTGTACATGTGGTTTAAACCTGTGTGATCCAGGTTTGCTTTGTGCTTGAAAGCAAACTACTGTATTTTTCGGAGTATAAGACGCACCGGAGTATAAGACGCACCTTAGTTTTTGGGGAGGAAACCAGGAAAAAAGCTGATTGGCAGGTGGATTGGCTTCCAGGAATACCCCCAATCAGCTGTTCCCAGAGGTGAATTTTAGCAACAGGTTCCTTGGTTGTGAGCTCTGTGCCTTGCTTTTTTTTTTTTTTTTGCTTTTTTTTCTGCCTCTGAAACTTCTGAAACTCCATTTTAGAAAAAAACTTTTTTTCTGCCTCTGAAAGCCTCCGAAACAGAGCTTCAGAAAAAAAGCTTCTGAAGCTTTGTTTGGGGGCTTCTTTTCTGAAGCTCTGTTTGGAGGCTTCTTTTCTGAAGCTTCTTTTCTGATGCTTTTTTCAGCTTCTGAAACCTCTGTTTGAGAAGCTGGGCGGGGCTACATTTGGAGTATAAGACACACCCAGATTTTTAGCCTCTTTTTTGTGGGAAAAAGGTGCGTCTTATACCAAAATACGGTATACCAAAAGGAAGACAAGTAGGGGGCAGGAATCAGAAGGGAATGAGTTTATGTTTATCCACTGATCTGGGGAGCTGATCAATAGATTGTGTTAGTGGGAACAATAGAGTTATCAAGAGTGTACTTCAAGGTTACTATCACATAGGGTATTGTTACTGCTCCTTTCCTCCCCTCAACCCCTCCTCCCCCCCACATCACAATCATTCTCACACAAGCAAGTTAGACTGCCCAACATTTTGAATACCAAAACTTCAGAGATTCCAAAACTGTGAGCCATTTTCTTAATGCTGGGAACTCAAAGTCAACATCTCAGCTCCAAGCCTTTCTTCCTTTCAGAATAATTATGCCTCCAGAACACCATGGTGCTCTTATACCAGACTGTGGAGAATTTTGCAACCAGGCTGCTTTTCTTTTTCTCTTTCTGATTGACTTGTCATGCTTGAGCAGCTGACCAAGGCCCTACAGATTCCCTTTCCATTGTTCTATAATTTGTAATAGTAGCTGCTGTCAGTTTTCATTATCATACTCTCTGGGAACCTGTTCATGTGCCAGTCACCAGGTTAAGATAAAACAGCATTTTCTGATCTTGTACCCCCCCAGATGTGTAGGGACCACTAATCTATCCACAATCACTCAAGTTCAAAATTAACACTAAATGATAATTGGGCCTCATTATAACCTCTGTCAGTTCTTCTATCTCTACCTTATTCTTCATGTGAGGTATCTACGATGTTTTGAGTGTCAAAGAACTTCTTTCAGAAGCAAGGTCATCAACAGCTGAAGCCCACGGGTTGCCTATGGAATGAAGTCAAAGTATTGAGCTCAGAGAAGGTACATTGGTTTCAAAGCTGGACCCATCATTAAATGGAGATGAAACTTCTTAGAGAAGATTTTCTTTAGAGGTACTCTCTGTGAAAAAAAGAAACACACTGTGGAATATTGCTCTGTATTTCTTGTGCGGCTCATGATAATGTTCTCCTCCAAAAACAAAATACAAAATAACAAAGCAAAACCAAAAATAAAAACAATTATTTGAAGACTGCTTTCTCTGGAGTGTCTCTTGGCAGATACTATACTTAATCAGCTTTCTATGTTCCTAATTAGATTTTTTTTTAAAAAAGCGACATGCACACATAGGTATCAACATTGCTCAAAATTTCAGGTTAACAAAGCCAGGCAGAGTTCTGATGCAAGGTAATAGTAAATAATGAAGCAAATTTGATGAGGTTTCATTAGCCTCATTAGTTTAAACTACTGGTGAAATGAAATGATGGCTACTGAAAATATCACTTGAAGTTAAGATTGCGAAACAAAGGCTACTTTGGCCATGTCATGCGAGTTGCCTCACTCAAAAAGTCAGTCATGCTGGGATGATTAGCAGAAGAAGAAGGGGTGACCCTAGTAGGGTCTAGGATAATTCAGTATGGCCAGCTCGGTGCCGCCAGAACATGCCGCCAGGCCAGCTCACCACTGCCAAGTTGCCTCTGCCAACTAACCACTGCCAAATCATCACAGGACAACTCAATACGGCCAATTCACCATGGGGACAGCTCATTGTGGGCAGCCAGAGGGAGAGCCACGTGGGTGGGTAAGCAAGCAGGTGGGCAGCAGCAGCGGCTGAAGCTTCCCACCAGAGGAAGAGCCAGGTGGGCAAGTGGATGGCTAGAATGCAGAGGGTGATCGCAGTGGCTGGGTGCTTCCTATTTTCACACATCCTGCTGCTGCTGCGGCAGTGGCAGTGGAGGGTGTGAAAATTGGATGTGCCTGGCCACTCCTGCCTTCCCAGCATCCTCTGCTGCCATCAAACAGCCTGAACTCTGAACAGCCCGGAGCTTGGCATGGTGGCGGTGACAGTGATGAGAGTGTGTGAAAATGAGAATCTCCTGGCTGCTGCCATTCTACACTCTGCCCACCCGCTCATTTGCCTGCCCACTCAGCTCTCTTCCTGGCCCACAGTGAATTGTCTACATTGAGTTGTCCTGCAATGACTTGGCAGAGGTGAGTTGGCTAAGGCAAGCTGAAGGCAGTGAGCTGGCCACAATGAGTTGTCCCATTCCAAGCTGACTGTGCCTGCATTTTGGTGGCAACAATGATGATAGTGATGAGGTGATGGCCACTCTGTGTACAGCAGTAGTGATGGGTACCTGGAAACGCTCAACATGTTAGAAGATTTGCACACACCCAGAGATTGAGCAAGAACAGAAGCAGATCAGTCATCATGCAAGTGAATTGATCTTGTGGCTGCTGTGCGACAAGTCAAAAGAAGAAGTACCAGTAATCTTGTTCAGCTGGCACAGTGAACATGCGACAGGGAGAGATAAGAATTTGCCTCAAATGTTGTAGCTCTTATGGTGTTTTTCACTATTATTTCCAAAGGACAGAGTGGCAATTGGAACTGGACTGTGAATCATTGTGTTGGAAAGGTTTGGGAAACAATGTTGGGTTTTTAAACACATTGAAATTGTTAATTGATAAGATATTTGTAATCTTTTCCATATTCTGTATAACCCACATCTCCACAATCAACCTGTCCTCCCCTCCCTCCCTTCCTCCATCTCATTTCAATTTAATCCAGCATCAATCCAGTTTCTCATTTTGATGAAGTGAGCTGCAGTTTAGGAAAGCTTTTGTCTTTTAATAAATTTGGTTAGTCAGGAGTGGTGCTGATTCCTCTGTTCTAATCGTGTCTGTAAGTATTCAGCTACCACTCCTTGCAGGGTTGCTCTGAGGGCTGTTTTAGGAATGAGATGGATGAAGTCATTGGGTTTTATCCAGAGTTGGATTCTGGCTGTCAGATCCTGTGGAATTGATTAAGGCACACTTTTACCCAGGTTTTTTTTTTTTTTTGAAAAATTTGAGCCTCTTGGTCTTCATCAAATGCACAGGGTCCTTGGGGCTTTGAGTCCTTGTGTTTTAGACTCATGTCCTTCCTGGTGGGTCAAGGCTTCTTGGAGTTTATATATAGTGTAGTTGGATTCAAGTCGTAGTGAGTGCTTGTAGTAGGAGAGGATGGTTCTGATCTCTTTAAATGAAGTTATGGTTTGCCTTCTCCTCAAGAAGCCATTGCCAGATTCATTGGTACTAGAAAATTTTCTCCAGTCTCCAACCTTTCTTTTTAGAAATGTGGTAGTCTTGCAGCTCCAAAGATCTTGGAGGAAACAGGTTTTCTGAACCCTTTTCAGTTAGGTACAGGTCAGGGATAGCATATCTATCCAAGTCCTCCTTGATCTCTCAGAAGCCTTCAATAACATCAGTCATTTTTTTTCTTTGTCCTAACTTAGGCGCTAGGAATAAGGATTTCTTCCTGTTGGAGTGGATTGGAGAGGCCCAGATCTAGGCCTTTGTTTGCCAAAGATGCCTCTGGGCTCAACATTCTTCCCACTCCTATTTAACATCTACATGAAACTGCTGGGTGAAGTCATGTATTGGCTCAGGTGCCATGAATAATGGGCAACTACATTTACTTCAATATCTCTGGGGAGACAAATTCTGCCAAACACGATCCTTCCAGGAAATTCCTAATTTCTTTTGCTTCCTTGTTCATTTTTTAAAAATAATTTCATTACAATTGGCGATTAAGGCAAGCAATCTGCCTTACAGAAACATATGATTTGAAGAGGTAATTGAGTAAAGAATGAGAGAGAATCAGTCCACGTACATTAGAACTTGTGTCTTCTGGATCTACAGTGTCATAAGAAAATAGCTGATCTAAATTTTTCAAGGCAAGGAAATTTATCACTTTCCATTGATTTTTACCTTGCTATTGAACAGTCTTGTAAATCTAGAATTTTGATTCTAGGCTGCCAAATGTCTCCATGAGTTTATACTTAAAATATAATCACCCTTCATTGATTCATCCTTTATAACTGAGAGTCAAAAAGTGGAAACAAATATGTAGCAATGGGGGAAAGTTGCAGTCTATAAACTTACTTATAAGCTATCTAGACTAGATTGAACAAAATAAAGTCCTGTAAACTATCTTTCTGGGGCAAAAGATGGTCTCTCATGAATTTGTCTTGTTTTCCCTTGATTAAGTGTCTCGGTTTGCATTATAGGCTAGGAATTTTCCACTGGCAAAAATGTCTTGAAATTTTCACTGACTTATTCATTAGTACACCCCAAAGAATCTTCCTAATCTTTTGTTTCCCTTCAGTTATAATGTGGAAACTTGTGCTTGATTGATGCTATCACTTACAAGGTTAGTTTGGGGCACCCACCATAACTCTGTCAGAGATTTGCCTCTGGAGGAATTGTAAGATAGAAGCATTTGGCTTTGCTTCTCACTTCTGTGGTCCAGTCATTCACAAAGTCAATCTTGGGTTGAAGTTATAAGACCCATCTGTACTTTTGTTTTACATCAGAGAAGTGGAAAGTGAGAGCAGGAAAGAGAAGAACTTGCAGGGTCATTAAAAGTCAGAATCAAGACTTTAGATGAAATAAAATCTTCAGGCTTCATACTCCAATCCCCAAAATAAAATTTCCATTTATTCTACAAGTTGGAAATGGCTAACATGCTTGTTGACTCATTAATGCTTCATTAATGGTAACCTTTTGGGGGATTGCTTTGTTTTGCTTTTCCAGTCTGAATATGGTAATACTCATCAAGAATACTTTGCATGCTCTCTCCCACCCACCCCTCTGTGTGAGTGTATTTATGTGCCTTCTATAGTAGAGCTATCATATCTGAGTTGCAAAAAAATTGAGTAATCTCTACACAGCAGAGTTAGAATTTTCTGTATCTTTTTGCCACCATCAAATGGTTTCCAGTTTCCCTCCCTTCACCCCCAGCCCAAATAGAGTTCAGGTAGTTTTTGAGTTGTGATTACTTGTTCAACAATTGTTCAAGGTTATGATAGCAATAGCACTTAGACTTATATAAAAGACTTCACAGTGCTTTATATCCCCCGCCCCCAAGCAGTTTACAGAATCAAGATATTGCGCCGGACAAAATCCACAATTTTGCAAACCTAAGAAGGATGGAAGGCCGAGTCAACCTTGAGCCTGTAAGAATTGAACTGCTGGCAGTCGGCAGAATTAGCTTGCAATACTTTATTCTAACCACTGCGCCACCACTGATGCTGGTCCTCAAAATTCTTGGCAATTGGTTCACACTAACAGTGGTTACAGCATCCCGTGGTCACATGATCATCATTTATAGCCTTTCCTGCTGGCTTCTCACAAGCAAAATCAACGGGAAAGCTGGCAGGGAAGGTTGTAAATTGTTTCCATAAGTCTCTCCAATCCCCCTTTCTCTGAAGGAACCCAGCTATGGAGTATGGGATCCCAGGGATTTTAAACAGTGCGTCAACACTATCACCCACACACTATAGTGTGCACCCCCTTGCAGGCTGCCTGTGCTCTGTAACCCCATCCTGTCAGGCTGCCTGTGCTTCAGTAGCACCCAGGGGTGGGTTTTACTTACCTTTACTACTGGTTCGCAGCGGGACCACGCAGAAGCATTTTGATGACATCGGGGTCGGTGGGTGGAGCCTCCTGCCGGTTTTACTACCAGTTCTATAGAACCGGTGCGAACCAGGGGCAACCCACCACTGGTAGCACCTGCCATAACACCCATCAGGTACTCAGCTCCAATGCTCTTTGCCTGGGATTCCTGCCATTTCCCACTAAACGAGACACATGGTTTTGGGGTTTCAATGGCTACCAGGACTTCTGGGATTGCTGTCACTAAGCCATGCAGTCATGTGACATTGTGCTTTATGACCTCATTCCTTAATTGTCATCATAACCTGAGGACTACTTGTAACCCTCATTAAGGCTTAGTTTTCATAAAGAATAGATGCCAATTATCCTACAGTATTTCACCCTGCTTGTTGACATGATTAAATATTCTGCCATGAAATAGCCCCTGCATATAGAAAACTAGAAATCAGAGAAAGTTGTGCTTGACCATCTGCCTAATACTTAACTCAGTGGTGAAATCCAAATTTTTTTTACTACCAGTTCTTTGGGCATGGCTTGGTGGGCGTAGCAGAGGAAGGATACTGCAAAATTCCTATTCCCTCCCCACTCCTGGGGGAAGGATACTGCAAAATCTCCATTCCTACCCCACTCTGGGGCCAGCCAGAGATGGTATTTTCCGGTTCTCCGAACTACTCAAAATGTCTTCTACCGGTTCTCCAGAACCTGTCAGAACCTGCTGGATTTCACCCCTGATTTAACTTCTAACTGAAGTCTATACACAATGGACAAAAATAATTTCTTACCCATTTTACCCATCATAAATTGGTCATTCTGATGCAATTAGAACTTCAAGGATGTGCAACCTTCTTTCCAGAGGAAAACAACAACAACAACGATGAATGCCAGTAGCATTTTGGTTTTGATACAGAAGAGTTTGGTGTATTTTCTTAATTCTTGGATATTCAATATGGCTGCTAGAATAAAAAAAATGAACCCAATTGCCTCTCTTGTTATCCACTGTGAGATGCCACAGTGGTGAAACATATCTACAGAAAAACATCCGGCTCCTACAAAACGGAGAAATAATTCTTCCAGCAGCAGTGTTTATTCAAAAAGTTCAGTGTTAAATACCCCACCAAAGAAAGGGCATGCCCGAAGCAGCCTTGTTTACATAAACTCCTCATCCTTACTTAATGGACTGAAGAAACAGCGAAAAGATTCTGAGAAACAGACTTCAAGGAGAAGCCATTTCATAAAACCATTATCGGGTCATCTCCACAAATTATTGGTCAGATCTTTTTCTCTCCTTAGTCCTTTCCTTCAACATGTAGGAAAGATGATGTACTAAGGTTTGCTCAGTCATGGGAGAAATCCGTTGTTTATATAGACAAGGCCTCAAATCTTAATAAAGGCACAAAATATTTCCTCCTAATGGTGGGAGAATTCAGAGGAAGAAAATTCATCAGAAATATGTAAGCTGACATATTGAAATGAGAAGAGTTGGATTCTTAGACGCCCATTTTCCAATGCCTGAAATAGAGAGAGATAACAAATGGGACTTTAGTTTATAAAATAAAAATGTGCTTTCTGCAATGCATGGCCTCTTCTTTGTTTATTTGGTGAGGTTTTCTGACCATACATAAAATTCTTTATGTGTATGTTTAATCAGACTAAGTAAAGAGCTAGTAGCTGTACTCATACTATTTGCAAAACATGCTTAGCTTCAACATTACCTAGTTTTTCTGGGGTTATTCATTATTTGTTTGTTTAATTTAGCTGCCCATCTCACAGCTGTGACTATGGGTAGCTCATAGTTAAAACACACTTGCACGCACATCTGCATGTGCGTGTGCACATGCACACACATACACACACACATCAGCCTCACCATCCCCAAAGAATTATAGAATGTCTTAGATGAGAGAATAGGAATGCTCACAAAATTTGAGATCACTCAAAGTGGGTGAGGAGATTGCTAACATCCCAGAGGACAGACTCAACATTCAAGAGCCTGTAGTACAGTGGACTAAAGCACTGTTATTAACATCTGCTGCTTGCAATTACTGCAAGTTCAAATCTCACCAAGCTCAAGGTTGACTCAGCCTTCCATCCTTTCAAAGGTAAGTAAAATGAGGAGCCAGATTGTGGGGGCAATAAGCTGACTTTCTATAAATATACAAAAGTATGAAGGCTATTGCTTAACGCATTGTAAGCTGCCCTGAGTCTCCAGAGAAGGGCGGCATATAAATTAAAGCAAAAAAAAAAAAAAGGATCTTGATAAGCTTGAACACTGAGCCTTATCTAAGAAAAAGCTGTTCCATGTGAGAAATATAAGGGTTTGCACCTAGGTAGGCAATAAGATTTCTTGATCCCTGGATTTTTGAGCAATCTACCTCATGTTTCTCTTCCCAACCTAGCCTTTCTTGGCACCCCTCTTCTTCCATTATTTATCCATAATAATTATCCATTATTCAGAAACAGTGTCCTTCTTCATTCTTCCATCTCCCTGGCTACATGCCAATACCATGGCACATTTTTTCCCTTTTTCTATGTTTAAAGAGAGGAAAGTTGCTGTCATCTAGACACCCTCATTTCTTTAGATAGCCTTGGAAAGGAAGAGAGGGGACAGGACAAGATCTGCTGATTTTTAAGGCAAGTGCATAACTGCATACTCATCAATACAAACAGTAAAAAAAATTGTCAGGACCCTGAAAAGACCCCACTTGATTGAGGAAGCATGAACAAAACTCTGGCTTCTTTCTCCTTCTCCTTCTCCTTCTCCTTCTCCTTCTCCTTCTCCTTCTCCCTCTCCCTCTCCCTCTCCCTCTCCCTCTCCTTCTCCTTCTCCTTCTTCTTCGTCTCCTTCTCCTTCTCCTTCTTCTTCATACTCTATACTAGTTAACCGATGAGCTTCTTAGCTGAGGATGAACTCAATCCTTGATTTCCATGGTCCTCATCTAACACATTAACCACCATGTCCTGCCCATCTATCCACAAGCCAATCTTTATCATCATAAGAAAAACAAACACTGTAAACTTTAATTAAACCTTTAATAGCCCAAAACTGTTCATATACAAAATTCAGCACTAGGTCCCAGATTCTTTTTATGCTTTGTGAACTGTAATACTCACAAGATTATACACAAGAGTACAGGTGACCTACAGTTCAGTTTTCTTCTGTTGCAAACCCACACTGCTTTTGCTTTCAGGAGATCAAGTGGTGCATGAAAGTACTTAAACAAATGCAGAGCTTAGCATGAAAATAACATGAAGGACCTAAAAAATAATTTTATTAACTAATTTTAGGCATCGATCTTGAGCCTTGGAACCCTTTCTTGGTCTCCTGGCATCTTGTTTCCACAGTAATAACACCTGGAAAAGCAGATTTTTGTAACAGATGTGAATTCAGATAGCAAGACAATTTTTTTCAGGTTTCAAAACTCTTGGCAATATAAATGATACTTCATAACTGAGTCTTAGAATATAGAATAAGAATATAACAATTCCTAAGTCTAAGTAGATAACCTACCTATTTTCTATAATAATAAACTGATAACTACTCGTGCTATTAATATTTTAAATGTAAGGTTGGTTGAATCTTCTTATGTCTCATGTTTAAATAGCTTTATTCTTTTAAGCAGAAATACACACTCACAAGCCCTGCATGTGACCTTCTTATGACCCAGAAAAGCTTCAGGTGTTGCCTTCAAAGGCCTTTTCAATTATTATTGTATGTAAGGAAAGAAACAAATGATTAAATACCTGACTGGAGTCAAATGCATTAACTATAATTAATGCTAGTTAAACGTAAATGATATGTTCGCCATATCTTTGTCCTGGCCCCAGATCCTACTCTCAGCATGGCATTCAGAGGTTGAATTCAGCTTGCACCTTCTTAGAGCCAACTCACACATTCTAGTTTTGGGAATTTGCACTCCTTCTGGATTTATATTTGGCTTTGGTTCTCATAGAATTTAAGAATGGGTTTTCAGTAGTTCATCAAAGTTAATTTTAATTTATACTTTAAGTCCTTGGATTGTTTAAAAATGTTAGTCAACCTGAATACTGTCTTGAATCAATACAGGAAATAAACTGAATAGGTGAATGGATGGGATAGGTAGATGGCGAAATCCTCCGTGGGTTGCAACCAGTTCGCTGCCCACACATGTGTGCTGCGTGCCAAATGCGTACTGCATGCATGTGCATGTACAGTATGCACCAAACACATGCTGTGTACGCACGCATGCACAGTGAGAACCAAACGCGTGCTTCGTGTAGAAAAAGGAGCCATTGGAAGGTAAGTAGAACAGCAAGGCGGGGGGAACAGCTGTGTTGCGTGATTTAGATTCGCTAGAAAGCAGGAAATCCTGCTTTCTAGCTAATATAAATTACGCAGCACAGCTGATCGTTGAAAATACCGGTTCAGTATTTTTTTACTACCAGTAGTTTTTATTACTACCGGTTCGCCTGAACCGGTGCAAACCGGTAGCATTTCACCCCTGGATAGATGGGTTAAAAACAGATGGCTATTTTAACAGTTTGGTATCTTTCAGGTATTCTTTAGGATATGATTAGCTTTAACTCCATTTGTGCATATATAGTCAAGTCTGGTGGTATATGGAATATTGACATTTCTTTGTCCTGCAATGTGATCGACTTTAACAAATAAATATACAATTACTCTTGAAATTGGAGGATGAAAAAAGTCAACATGGCCAGGCATGCATGATTGAGGACTCATGTCTCTTTTGTGTGTGTTGCATATAACATACTGCACATTTTGCAGTTTTGACCAGTGACACTATTCTGAAATAAAGATGCCAATCTTTAGGGTTTAGTTGAAAACCATAGGAGATTTGTCACTGAGGGAAGTTGGTAAAATTATTGATAATTGCCATAGGTGCTGTTCAATCTGAAAACAATTTTTTTAAACATTCAAACACGGACCAGCTGTATGTGTTCATCCTTTGGAGAGCTGTTTTATTATGTGCAATTTGTAATAATGTGTGAAATTTTCTATTCTGGTCTCTGGATGATCAGTGAGATGCAAACCTGAAAAAGGAGCACCTCTGTTTCTTAAAGTGGAGCAGTTATCAGATTTATCATTATGTGTTATACTGTAACAACTATGAATAACCCAGGAAGATATTTAGCAAGATCCTGCTAACTCTGACTGCCAGGTTTTGATGAAGAATTTAAAGCAAGGCATTTGTTGACTAACCAAGTCAGTATGCTTTATTTAGAA